GGGGCAAAGAAGTAATTCCAACAGTGTGGACAAGTTTAGGTTGTCAAATTTTCGGAGCAATCCGCTCCTTTATCAAGACACAGTGAAACAGAACAGTTACATGTACATATACATCATATTACAAGAAGATAGAACTAATATACTATAATTGAAAATATAGCTATTATATAAAACCAATAGTCCCCTCGGCTAAAGACAGCCGAAGGCAGCAATTAAGCTGAGAGCATCGCGGACAAGGAACGCTGATGTAGAGGACCTATTCTTGCGCAAGATACACTATCACATAAAGTGAGTCAACGAGAGATAAGCACCAGAAAGAAGGGACGAGATATCAAAAACGTGGAACAGCAGGGGGGTCCACACTTAGTCGCCTCTTTCGGTTTGCAGGAATAATACATGTAATTATCAAATAAGTGAGTGCAGGAGGAATAAGTAGATGAAATGGCTAAGATACTGTATAAATCTGCAAAATTAATCTGACAACGGCTGCTGGTCACACACACTGACATGCAGCAGCAGGCAGGCGAGATAGCAGACCAACTGTGCAGTAATGCACCATTAGGCCAAATGACCCCTGGAAGGAAAACGAGCGGATGGCTACCTCCATTAGGATCAAGTGTTATATGGGATTTTACCGTCTATATTACTTCTTTGACCCATATGTATATATATATATATATAAATTGAACATGATGAAGACTTTATGAGAGAGATTCGTACTTAGTGACGATACGGATATGTTGAACGGGCACTGAAAATAAATGTACAAGTATAATAGAGGCATACTGCACGGAACGATGACTATATACAAGGGCAGTCCTTTCTATCAAGTATTTGATCATATTGGTTTGGCCTATTCACAATGAAAATGAGTATACTGCATCGTATGAGTTGTTTGGATTTATACATAATGAGTATGGCAATGGAATAACAAAGGATGAATCCTACTATAAGTCTACATGTTTAGTGTGTTTATTGAATATGATATTATTATATACAAGGTGTTAAAAAAATACTGAGAGGATGAAACTATATACAATGAATAGTAAATGATTGCATAGGGTCAGGTGTATGCACAATGAACATGATAATGGATTAGAATACTACGTACTGCTTCTATAAATGAAAGGAATATTATGCAATAATTGAATATTAATAGAAGAGGTTCGTTAAATAAATGAAGAAAACAATTATGATGAACTTATCTATATTTCGCAAAGAACTGAAGAATGAAATTTCATGTATATTGCAATCAAAGCATAACTTATTATTGTTGCTTTTCTTGGTTTATATTTCGCAAATGAATAATTTGATTTACGATCATGGAAGTACTCTTTTCAAAAATAACGAGATTTTCAGTAAAAATTAAAAATTAAAAGCTAGTATTTATGTATGAAATATTGTCTACATTTCAACTTAATTTCTGCATTCAATCTTAATGTATTGGTAATCTAATGGTACAGAAGGTAACGTTTACGAAAGGTAAACTCTATTTAGAGATATATATACTTAATTAAGTCACTAAATAGGATGTTATGTTTCAAGGACTCTAAGCATAACCTGTTATTTACAGTTAGAATAGGATATACTATAACCCTTTTACTCCACAGACAGACAAAGGGACACAGTATTAATGATTCGCCTACACTGCAGTTGTTCCCGTTTCCTCTGTAAGAACACGGGAGGATGGAGGATGGTTATTTTTGGACTGAATGATAGCATGTGGGAGATGTTGCATATCATCATTGTCATTTACAGCGACCTGTTTATCAAAAGTCTTATTACTGAAAATTATGTTTCGGTTGTACAAGGACATATCTTCCTCTAGTATAGGTGATTCTCTGAGCTTTGAATCCTGACCTATTTTTATGTCTGGGCTTGGTTCGTTTCGTTTCCGTTTCCGTTTGCTTTGCGGTGTGTAATCTTGCGTCACTTCCGGTGCATTTTCATTATTTTGATTGTCATCAGACGCGTCACTTTCTACGGTTAATACTGTTTGTGGAACTCCCTCGTTGTCCTGGTTGTTGTTCGCTTCTCTGTCAATAGTAGCTGGAAATACGGGCCCAGCGTGACCCTGATGTGAACTCTGTTGTACATTACCATCCGGGTCCTCGCACCCGTCTGGAGGATGTCGTGTGCACATTCCAACGAACATAGACAAGAAACACTGTTTTTCACTTTGCCTGTAAAATAATAATGAAATGAATAAATAGTTTGAATTGAAATCTCAAGTCACGCATAGTGGATTAATTATCATGTATATAGCCCCTTTTAATACATTTGTTTCCAAAATGAATTGTGTAATTACAAGGCTCAGTAGCGATCTTTATCTAATTCTAACTCTGTTACAAAGAAAGTTCAACTTTGTGTCTAATTTCGCTCTTAAGTAACTTCAGGTTTTTAGCCTCTATCACGCTTATGCAATTTATTACTTGTAATATACAAGTAAGGTTACTTAAGTTGATATATGTGTTCATTTTCAAACTGGTTTCACATGTAATCTTTAAATAACATGTGTCTGGTTTTCAGTTCAAGTTTAATATACGGAAAATGTCTCCATAAATTGCAATTAGAACAAGCCATTTATTTCATTTGGCCTTTCGATTTCTTTCCAAAAAGATCAAAATATGTTAGATATCGAGCAGTACAATGCGCTACCGCTGTTTAATACATTCGTTTAATGAAGTAAGAAATTATTTAGATATTATCATTGTCGTGTTTAAATCACGACTTAATACCGAAAACATTATAATATCTTTTTAATACACGAGGGATCAATATCAAAGTAATCAAGATGAGACCTCTTTGCGAATTTTAATGTTTTGCTAATATCAATGTCATGGATATTTACTATCAAGTTTAAATAACATCCACTAAATCGCTAATTAACGTATAGTTCGGGAAAATATAGTACATGCAAAGAGAGAGAGAATAATTTCAGCACTGCTACGTTAATAGCATATAGCTACAAAAATAATCTTGCAACAGTAAAAGATATCATGAGTGTTATCGCTGTGACCATATTTCACCAGTGACAAATAGGACCAACCAAAATAATTCGACTTCGAAAAATCGGTGACTTCCCTTATATGTTGGGATTTGTTTTTATGAAGTGAAGACAATGTTGTAGGACTCAATATTAACAGAATTAAAAGTTTTGTAGTGAAGACCATAATATTTGACTTAACCAGCAGTAAAACAACAGACAAAAATATAACCATTCTGATCGTGTGAAGTATCAAGTAACGTCAACACACAGCAAATTACTGACTTACCATTGGTATCTTCTCAGCATGAAGACGACAGTCAAGATGGCTGCGAGCAGTAATGCCACGAGAGCAGCTGATCCGAGTATAATGGTGAGATCTGTCGAGTAAAAGAACAGATACAATACATCCTTAATTTAGCATCAATAAGAAATTATTTCGATTGGAGATACTTCTTATTTAAAGTTTCAAAACATACCAAGTCAAAATAAGCCGCATGGTCAACATAATAACAACACAAGAAGGGAATTGTAATCAATGTAATATAAGTTTGTTGCTTTGTGTGTAAATGTGTTGTTTATAAAAAAGAAAAATTGAATAAAAAAAACATCAACAAAAACACAAGAACAGCAACAAAAAGTCTTTGCAAAAACACAAAAATATAAATCTGTCTTAATGGTCCGTGTCCCTCTGCACTATGGTTTTCCGTATATACAGTAACACCCCATTAACTTTCATATAACTGTACAACACACTTCCGTTGACCAGGTAGCTCAGTTGGTTAGAGCGTAATATAACAATCTAAAATCCAGGGTTCGAATTCCACTCTTTTACACTCAGAACACCGTGATTGTTTATATTTTGTTAATTTCAACTTTTTTATCGTTACATAAAATGTCCCGTAAACGTATGGTTTTCTTTTCAGAAATGATGTATCAATGCTATAGTCATGCCGGAAAAAAAAAATCAGTTTCGAACGCGTAGTTAAGTTTTGGCAGTGGTAAGGGTATCCTGAACTTAGATCGTGATATCTGAATAAATGTTATAAACATTAGCCAAAGCAAAGAGACGAGAAGTGACTCAAATGAGATGTAATGTAGAAAGTCATTTATACAATGTAACATAAATAAAAAATAATAACCTTCTTTGTCTTCATTTTCTGGGAGTGTCACTTCTTTCTTGGGTCGGGAAGGATCCTTATACTCTGTTACAGGCGGAATCATGTTGGTTGACGTAGTGTTCGGTAATGTCTCTGTGGTGAGACGATCTGTACTAGGATCGTCGGGGTCGACGTACACGACACAGTCCGATTTATAAGCTGCAAAAGTATAATATATATAAATAATATCTATGTCAATAACATCTTGAAGAAAACATAACAATGCACAAAATAGGAACACATAGGCAATCCGAAAAATTCAACAATAGGAACCTTGTAACACAATGTGATTCAGAGGGGTAAGTGTCACAAACTGTAAAACCAGTGTGATTCAGAGGGGTAAGTGTCACAAACTGTAAAACCAGTGTGATTCAGAGGGGTAAGTGTCACATGCTGTAAACACAACGTGATTCAGAGTCGTGAGTGATAAATGCTGTAAACACGTTGTAATTCAGAGGGTTAAGTGTCACATGCTTTTAACGCAATGTGATTCAGAGGGGTAAGTGTCACATGCTGTTTACACAGTGTGATTCAGAGAGGTAAGTGTTACATGCTGTAAAAACAGTGTGATTCAGAGGGGTAAGTGTCACATGATGTTAACACAATGTGATTCAGAGAGGTAAGTGTTACATGCTGTAAACACAGTGTGATTCAGAGGGGTAAGTGTTACATGCTGTACACACAATGTGATTCATCACATGCTTTTAACGCAATGTGATTCAGAGGGGTAAGTGTCACATGCTGGAAACACAATGTGATTCAGAGGGGTAAGTGTCGCATGCCGTTAACACAGTGTGATTCAGAGGGATAAGTGTTACATGCCGTTAACACAATGTGATTCAGAGGGGTAAGTGTTACATGCTGTAAACACAGTGTGATTCAGAGGGGTAAGTGTTTCATGCTGTTAACACAGTGTGATTCAGAGGGGTAAGTGTTACATGCTGTAAACACAGTGTGATTAAGAGAGGTAAGTGTCACATGCTGTAAACACAATGTGATTCAGAGGGGTAAGTGTCGCATGCCGTTAACACAGTGTGATTCAGAGGGATAAGTGTTACATGCCGTTAACACAATGTGATTCAGAGGGGTAAGTGTTACATGCTGTAAACACAGTGTGATTCAGAGGGGTAAGTGTTTCATGCTGTTAACACAATGTGATTCAGAGTGGTAAGTGTTGCATGCTGTAAACACAATGTGATTCAGAGGGGTAAGTGTTGCATGCTGTTAACACAGTGTGATTCAGAGTGGTTCGTGTTGCATGCTGTAAACACAATGTGATTCAGAGGGGGACATTATGTAAGTGTTACATGCTGTAAACACATTGTGATTCCGAGAGGTAAGTGTAACATGTTGTAAACACAGTGTGATTCAGAGGGGTAAGTGTCACATGATGTTCACACAATGTGATTCAGAGAGGTAAGTGTTACATGCTGTACACACAATGTGATTCATCACATGCTTTTAACGCAATGTGATTCAGAGGGGTAAGTGTCACATGCTGTTTACACAGTGTGATTCAGAGAGGTAGTGTTACATGCTGTAAAAACAGTGTGATTCAGAGGGGTAAGTGTCACATGCTGTTTACACAGTGTGATTCAGAGAGGTAAGTGTTACATGCTGTAAACACAATGTGATTCAGAGGGGTAAGTGTCGCATGCCGTTAACACAGTGTGATTCAGAGGGATAAGTGTTACATGCCGTTAACACAATGTGATTCAGAGGGGTAAGTGTTACATGCTGTAAACACAGTGTGATTCAGAGGGGTAAGTGTTACTTGCTGTAAACACAATGTGATTCAGAGGGGTAAGTGTTATATGCCTTTAACACAATGTGATTCAGAGAGGTAAGTGTTACATGCTGTAAACACAATGTGATTCCGAGAGGTAAGTGTTACATGTTGTAAACACAGTGTGATTCAGAGGGGTAAGTGTTTCATGCTGTTAACACAATGTGATTCAGAGTGGTAAGTGTTGCATGCTGTAAACACAATGTGATTCAGAGGGGTAAGTGTCGCATGCCGTTAACACAGTGTGATTCAGAGGGATAAGAGTGGTACGTGTTACATGCTGTAAACACAATGTGATTCAGAGGGGTACATTATGTAAGTGTTACATGCTGTAAACACATTGTGATTCCGAGAGGTAAGTGTAACATGTTGTAAACACAGTGTGATTCAGAGGGGTAAGTGTTTCATGCTGTTAACACAGTGTGATTCAGAGGGGTACATTATGTAAGTGTTACATGCTGTAAACACAATGTGATTCCGAGAGGTAAGTGTTACATGTTGTAAACACAGTGTGATTCAGAGGGGTAAGTGTTTCATGCTGTTAACACAATGTGATTCAGAGTGGTAAGTGTTGCATGCTGTAAACACAATGTGATTCAGAGGGGTAAGTGATAACGCTGTAAACACGTTGTAATTCAGAGGGGTAAGTGCTACATGCTGTAAACACAATGTGATTCAGAGGGGTAAGTGTCGCATGCCGTTAACACAGTGTGATTCAGAGGGATAAGTGTTACATGCCGTTAACACAATGTGATTCAGAGGGGTAAGTGTTATATGCCGTTAACACAATGTGATTCAGAGAGGTAAGTGTTACATGCTGTACACACAATGTGATTCAGAGGGGTAAGTGTTACATGCTGTAAACACAATGTGATTCAGAGGGGTAAGTGTCGCATGCTGTTAACACAGTGTGATTCAGAGGGATAAGTGTTACATGCCGTTGACACAATGTGATTCAGAGGGGTAAGTGTTATATGCCGTTAACACAATGTTATTCAGAGAGGTAAGTGTTACATGCTGTACACACAATTTGATTCAGAGAGGTAAGTGTTACATGCTGTAAACACAGTGTGATTCAGAGAGATAAGTGGCATATGCTGTAAACACAATGCTTCATACCAAATCTGTGATATGCCAAAATAATGGGAAATGTAAAACAAGTCCCAACTACACCATATTTGTATCGGACGTCTTGGGTTTAAATATTATGTTAATTTCTAATATATGTACTGTTATCTGTTTTGTACAAAGTTTTACAACGTAACGGATAGAAACAGACAGCCCTAGTAATTAATGTTTAGCTCATGGTTTGTATAAAACAACGGACGCTGTTAGGGTTAGGGTAAGTGAACAATAGTTGAAATACAAAAATATAAATGTACAAGTAATGCGATCGATAAATTTTCAAAAATAAGTACTGTTACTGATATTTTGAAAAGTATCAAAAGAAGGCTTTATACTTTAAAAGAATATACAACTGCTAGATTGAAGTATCATGTTTGTAGAAAAAGAAAAAAATATCTCAAATAAGTCTGAAAATTCACCTTTGGTTAGATTCCCGTAGTTGTGATCACGGGGTCCAATGTAGACAAGTTTATTAAATATAGCAATGAAGGTAATTTTAGAGGAAGATACTGATTGTAAAGATCAGTATATATGACTTATATCATGTCATAAGTTTAAAGTAAAGATTATACCACACGCTTACATGAAATTATGACTTTTGAGAGAGCGGAATATATCAATAAATAACATCGAAGCAGCCTTCTTTGCTCACATAGTCTATATTTCCCAGTGTATGGTCAAAAGAGTGAGAAATATTTTGTTGAATCTATCTCATTTATCTCTACAGAAAATAAGAAAAAACAAATCTTTAATTTTTTCCAATTGTAGAAATATTGCATTAGTTTTAAAAAATAATGGCAAATGATGACACTTTATTTTTATTTTCTTCTCTTATAAAGAAATAAAAAGCATACACTGAATCTAGAGCATACATTTCTACAGAGACTGTTTCGTGCCTATGGATAGTAAAATGACGCGTACTTTGTTAACTCGATGAAATGTGTTCATGACACAGTATACTTCGTTTCAAAATATCATAAAACGTATGACATTTGTATTTGTATCAATGGCTTATCATTTGTTAGTATGAAGTAATAATTATGTAGGTATAAAGTAAGAATAAATCATTTACATATTATTATAAAACATTACAATATTACAAAGAAGATGTGATCATATTTACGAAAGGTATTTCTAACTATATCAATTGACAATTAGTAGGTGTTTTATCACATTGCTTTAGCAATGGGTTCAAACTGGAAGTGGACTTAATAATATACATGGAATACCGCCGTATATAGACTCAAATGTTGATATAAGGTCATTTACCTTGAATACTGTCGCATATGTGATCTAACGTAACTTTCCTGGAATAATGTCGTATGTGTATTTATCAGGTAACTTACAAGAAATGACGTCTTATATGGTGATATAAGGTGAATTACAAGGAATGATGTCGTATATGTTGTTATGAGGTAACTTACCTCGAATTAAGGTAACTTACCTCGAATGATGTCGTATGTGTTGTTATAAGGTAACTTACCTCAAATTATGTCGTATATGTTGTTATTAGGTAACTTACCTCGAATGATGTCGTATGAGTTGTTATTAGGTAACTTTCCTCGAATGATGTCGGATATGGTGATATAAGGTGCATTAGAAGGAATGATGTCGTATGTTTTGTTATAAGGTAACTTACCTAGAATGATGTCGTATGTTTTGTTATAAGGTAACTTACCCCGAATGATGTCGTATGAGTTGTTATTAGGTAACTTCCCTCGAATGATGTCGGATGTGTTGTTATTAGGAAACTTACCTCGAATGATGGTGTATGTGTTGTTATTATGTAACTTACCTCGAATTATGTCGTATATGTTTTTATTAGGTAACTTATCTAGAATGATGTCGTATGAGTTGTTATTAGGTAACTTCCCTCGAATGATGTCGGATATGTTGTTATGAGGTAACATACCTCGAATTAAGGAAACTTACCTCGAATGATGTCGTATATGGTGATATAAGGTAACTTACCTCGAATGATGTCGTATATGTTGTTATGAGGTAACTTATCTCGAATTAAGGTAACTTACCTCGAATGATGTCGTATATGTTGTTATAAAGTAACTTATCTCGAATGATGTCGTATGTGTTGTTATAAAGTAACTTACCTCGAATGATGTCGTATGTGTTGTTATTAGGTAACTTATCTAGAATGATGTCGTATATGTTGCTATAGTGTAACTTACCCAGAATACAGTCATATGTGTTGGTATAGGGTAACTTGGTTTGGTTTGGTTAAATTGTGTTGAACGTCCTATTAACAGCTAAGGTAATTTAAGAACGTGCCTCCATGTATGTAGTATAAGCGTGCTTGCGTGTGTATATGCAGGAGACAGGGTATGTTGGCGTGCTTCCCTCTTTGTGATAGTGCGTATCTGATGCCGACTTTATAGTGCTATCTCACTGAAATGCCATGCCGAAGGCACCAAGCACATAATTCCGCCTGGTCACATTATACTGACAACAGGTGAACCAGGTGTTGCCATTACCCACAATGCTGAACGTTAGGCAGGGAATAACAACTATCATTTTTTAATGACTTTGGTATGTCCCGGCCTCGGGACGGAACCCATTGCCAACGCTCAACATTAAGGCCAATAGTGCGGTGTTGCCAAGCAATGCACTAGGAAATAAAATGTAGTTAGAAAGTAGAAAGAAAGATTAAGATCCCATATATTGCAATGGGTGCAGTAGATTTATTTTGGTCGATTTTGTGACCCCAAATAGAGTACACCAAAGCAAATCCCTAATTCTGCGGGGAACTTACTCGAAGTACTGTCGCATATGCTTATATAAGGTGAATTACAAGGAATTATGTCATATATGTAGGTACAGGTTAACTTACCCGAAATACTGTCTCATAATTTGATATAGGGTAACTTACCCGAAATACTCTCTCATATGTAGATATAAGGTGAATTACAAGGAATGATGTCGTACATGTTGGTATAAGGTAACTCACCTGGTATACAGTCGTATATTAGCCTGAAGAATGAGACGTAGTATCCACACTTGGCAGAGAAGACCCTCCATATGGTGACGTCACACTGCTGGCGTCCACAGCATTCGTCGTCCAAGTCGATGTTCTCTATACAGTCCCCGACGGTGTACATACAGTACTTGAGCTTATTTAGACCGTATATCGCCTCATTAATCCGAATCACCTTGTTACCTGAACACTGCACGTGCAATGTTTTCCTACTGCCGTTAACATTTTGGTCCGTACATTCGAAAATACGTCCACCTGAAACACAAATAAGAAATATTACAGCCTAGACATATTTGAAACACTCTAAAGATAATACTGACAGCAGGAGAAATTGTCAAAGGAACAGTTTTCGCGGTGTGTATACCACGTCATGTTACAATTTGAATGATGCTACAAATGGTACAAGAAGAATAAATAAAACAACAATAATGTGAATATGGAAATAGATTACAGGGTAATATACATTCATGATAAGACCTTTCCACTCAATATTAAGAGGCTCAGTGTACCTAAGTATAAGGGTCTTATGGAATCACACAGATTGTGAAACTGCCAGGTAAAGAACACCTTATGTTTACCACAAATCGAAAAGTTTTGGATAGTTTTGTTTTCAAACCAAATGTACACAATATGAATTAAAGTCAATACAACTACACACCGCCAATGCTCGAGTAGGGAACTCAGTTTAAATACTCATAAAACACAATACAAATATATCATATTGAAATGGAAATAACTTGTAAATATGTATCTCACTAGCGATTTCACCTGTACTTAATTAACATATTATCACTCGACAGGAATACGCTAGCGTGTCGTAGGACGACGGCCCCGTCATCTGCCTCGTCAGGTGTTCTCACCTGTCGCCGACCGTTGCTAATCACCTGTGTACACAGGTATGGAGGAGATGGCTACCAACTATCTACTTGACTTAATGCATGTAGTGTTTGATGAAAAACTCTTCTGTCTGATATGCCGATTAATATTGTTTTTAGTTCGACTATTTTAGCATACATGTATATCAAAGCATATCATTTACTTATATATTATTGCATAATAACGTGAACTTATGTGAGGAGTATCATTGATTTAGAATTTGTATTGTTATAGTTATGAATGATGTTTGTTATTTTAAGTTAATAATTTAAAACAAATAAATGTTATTTAAACTAAACAAACCTTCTTAAGTCGTTTTGTAAATCATCGTGCATAAAAAATCTACGTTTAAAAAGTGTTATCCCTTCCAAACCCCTAGGGGCTCTTATTTCCGGCGATATATAGAGTAATAAAATACTTGAAATGTCACGAAAAAGTCACGACATCGACACCTTTGTGTTTAGTATGTCAAGTTCCTCTGGGGTACAAAACTGGGCGAACGAATGAAAACCAGTAGAAAAAAATCAAACAACCATCTGGTTATAGATTTCTATTGTTCAGCAGGTATGTTGACAGTTAAATTCATCGAGTGGAACTATCTTGTACTTTTCGGAGGTCAGGAGTTCGGTCGGGTAGGAGAAATAAGCAGCACCTGCCGTATTTATTTGTCAAAATCACACTGACTAGAAAATGTGTTCCATGATTCTTTTTACTCTACATTGTGCGATCGACAGATAACAAGGACCCTTACTTTATCGACACAATTAATGAATGCATTCCAGTACCAGGTCAAAATTCTTTCCCTTTCTACAAAACTTCAATAAAATGTTGTATGCTGCATGGATTGGTCAATGGGGTGAATCAGTGGCAAACGATTTGAGTGGGACTTGAGGTGATAGTGAATAGGGTGTATTTCACCGGGTGATGGCGGTGGCGCTGTTGTACAATAACGATTTCATTCTTTACAACCTCTTTTCTAACAGAAGTATGTTCCAAAATGTGTCATTACTCAAATGTTCAGTTATCATTTTCGTTCCACAGGATTATCACATTTATAGAATCAACATCCCTATTGAGATAATAATATCGTGATAAGCTGTGTTATGCAAATGTATCTTTACTATCTAATTAAGACGGATATTTCCTTTAAAACAACTACCCTTTTAATGCATAATGGTTTTAATGATATCACAAAAATATGAAAATATATATTGTTCATGAAACAAAACCATTATAATTAATACGACATCTACTCCAGACATATAGCATGGGGAAGACGTGAGAACACTAAAAAAACAGCTCGCCAAACTAAATGTCAACGAAAAATAATATTCTACAGAAAAAGTTCAAAGTTTATGTTCGATAATAGGGAGTACTGGGTATAGCTTCATAATGTATAGCTCAAACGATTACTTACTTCAAATAATTGAGATAACTATGAATGCTTTTACTATTAAAGTGATGACTATACACAATACTGGTTGTGAGCTAGTTTATATGATCTGCCTTATTGTAAATATATAACACAAGAATATTAATTTTCTATACAACTTGTATTCGCGACGAAAAGCAAAAGTTGAAAACACAAGAAAGTTTAATCTCTATTAGGTACGTAATTGTGTGACAAAATTGAATATTAGAAAATAATAGAAAAAGTAAATTGTATGTTTATAATCCTTTTCTTGGGTTCGTGTCATAAATATATACTGTTATGGCAACTCGTTAACGATCTCTTATACACATATAACTTATAACGATGTTTACAAATCATTGTATATGGATGCAAAATCATTGTATACATGATATATATTCAGTTGTCTGTTGTGTCTGTATTAGATATCTCCCGTTTTCTTATTGAATAGCCAAATAACTAATAAAAACCTCTTACATAACAAAATGAAAAACTAGACGTGTTTAAAAACATAATAAACATAAAAATATATTTTATCACAATATGAAACTTTGAAAAAGCAGTATTAATTTTGTTTTACAACGTCAGTCATTTATGAAACTCACAAAGATAGCATCTTCAAAATCAAATATCACATGTTTAAACAAATACAGGATGTTTTATAATTTATCTAGAAACGATTTGTATGTATTGCCTATACTGTGGCTATGTTAGAAACAACCAAGTCATCTATGTAGACATTACATTGTAAATCAGTGATGATATGTTACCTACAGTAAGTAACACCTAATATATATCACATGTATATATGAATGTATAGTTAAAAAATACACGGACGTTAGTTTGTAATAAAATTGAAAGTAAAATATCAACTTAGAATAATAGTTTTTGTTTTTTTTTTTGTTTTTTTTTTGTGTTGTTTAACGGCCCATCTACAATGTGATTCATTTAGGGCCAACAACACCGTAAAAAAGAGACATTAACGAAAATAAACACATCAATCCAAAACTTAATAGCTTAACATGTATAAAGGATTAAAGAAATACATCAATATCGAACAAATTGGCTGCACAACATATCATATTTCATTTTAAAGATCAATAGAGTGTAAATAGTCATATTATTAATTGCACAGAGACTATATCGAATAATCTTTTCATAGACGGTACATCATGGGTTTTTTTGGGTTTTTTTTTTTGTATAACAAACGTAGGTAACATGAAGATATTTAGAATAAACAGTAGACAAAAAACGAGGTGATGATCGAGAGAGGAGCAAGTAATACGATCCGAAAATAAAATATGGTTAAAAATTGATATCGATACTTACAAATGCATGCTAGTATGTTGTAATTAATTATCATTTAAGTACTAAGTAAGCTCTGAGTAAGTATTAAGTAGGCTTGTATATAATGCTTCAACGTATTTATATGTATACGGTCATATTGATTAGGTTGAGCACAAGGGAAATATCAACCTAAACAAATATTAATGTTTATACCTAGCACTCACCTATTATCCTATATGAAGTTGAGTGTCAAGATGCGATGTCTACCAAAATAAATCATCGTCCTGGGTGTATTTGTTTATAAAATGTTTATAAAACTCTGTGAATTAATACTGGAAAATGGAGTATCAATGTGAATTTAATCGATAGTAAATCACCATTCTGTCTACGTGAAGTAGGCTTGAATGTTGACATAATGTTTATAACTTTATTTTTAACTCATTCACCCCTGAAGACACAATTGAACTCTTCCAATTCAAAGGTTAGAATAGTTCATTATGAAAGTTCAGGGGTGAATGAGTTAATGTGGATACTGGATAATAAGTTATGAATGTGAATTTAATCAACAGGAAATCATCGTTCTAACCTAAATGGAGTAGGTTTGTTTATTTATATAATATTTATAACTCTGTAAGTGAATACTTGATAATAATATCTTAACGTGTATTTAATGTTTATCACAATCAACACAATAACATAAAGACGTGTATCGATTTCATAGATTTACGGGACACTTATTTTAACAGTAGGTTGTTGTATGCATAACACATATCTTCTCCGTTGAATGTCTATTAAATTTCACAAATCCAGTATTTAAAATCAATTTAGTATGCAAAGAATTCGTGACGACAGGATGGCACGATATAGTATCGTATTTCGTATCTGCTATACATTGTGATTAATATCTAACAGGTATTTGATAGGTATCTTATTCTATAGTTATCTGCCTTTAGTGGGTAACTTACCTTGACAGTGACTTGAGTGTACAAGGAACAACACTGATACAACTAGTCGACTGATAACAGTATTGTAACACATCATCCCAAATCCATATCTCCAGATTAACTAGGATTTTAGATCACTGACCAACAAACATCACGGACACGAGTGACACCATCGCTAGACAATGGTCAAGACGGGAACATTGTGGTCAGGTCTCCGCAGACGTTTGCCAGATGAACCGGAACGTGAGTGAAGGGAGCAAAGCTTAACCGGGAAAAATTTGGCTGAATTACGGGAGTCTTTGTGTGGTTTAAACGTTCGGGTGAGGAAATTTTGTAACAGACCAGCTGTCTAACTTTATAATAGCCTGCGCCGGCGTAGGCCCGCCTTTGTGAGAACATCTGCCGGGCCAGGGAGCAATCACAGGACTGGTGCTGTCGTCTGCTGTCGGTCGGCACCTTGTCTTTTCTCCATTAAAGGCACAGCATGCACGTTCAATGTTTCTGTTTTGATATCGATAACAAATATTAATGAAATATACAATAATAAACGTAAACGATGTATATATTTGTCTTTCGTTAAACGACATTATGTGTAAAGTGGACGCTTGTTGGTTTTTTTCTTCTACAATATTATGGAATAAATCACCCGGATTAATAAACGTTCTAATATACACAATGATATGTATAACTACAATACATGTATATAGTTAACTGTAAAAACGAATTTTGATACGAAATCTGATATTCTATCGATATTTGATGTGCGTATTGAAAAAATCAAATTCTGGCATAGCGTAAATATCACCCATATACATTTTCACGGGTCAGCTACACTCAGTGAATGAATCGCTTTAACGACACTTTCGAAGACGCCTCCTCGTAACAGATAGTACTCGTGGCTGTCGCAGCAAAACGTATATTTAAAAATAACACCTGTTCCACATTAATTCAGTCGTGTTTATGACATCTATCATATCTACATCATTTACATTTATTGTTTTTTAAATACTACATTCTTTCACATTACACATTCTGTACAGCACTCGTATTGTTTTTACTTCACCAGTCCACAAAAATAGTGTAATTAAATCCTTTAACGCCATTTTACCTAAATGTTCCCCGAGTCGTTCGTGCAGCTCTATCATATATTACGTGTGATTGACTTCATGTCGTTAGCTGTCGCAGTCACCCGGCACGTGCGAGTTCGGTGGTCACGTGCTTGCTTGACACATGAAGTGTGGTAACATGTTTTTATCATCACTGGACCTTGTCTATGCTACCTGAGCCACGTGTACCTGATTACCAACTACCACTCAGTCTTAATGGAAACGACCCTTTCATCTGGATTTAATCTAGGTAATAAATACGTCGTAGTTCTCATGTAACCAATTATCAGGTCTAATACTGGTTGAAAAATGTCAGTTGTCAATGTAGTTTTTTTAAATTATATTTACAGTACGTTTACTGGATATTACTCTAGGCAATTTTACCAGACTTTTTGCATTCCAATAACGTTAAAAAAGCTATCCTTTGTGCGACTTGTTTTCCTGTTTTCATATGAGGCCTAATTCAATAAAGAGCTTACCACGACTTGCACAAATAGCTAGCTTACATAGTCCTTAATTTCAATTTCCGACATATTGACGATGTCTTTAAATAACAAGAAATATGTTTACCGCGTCGATAATATAAAATATCCTGAACTTAAATCAAGGTTTGGTTTGGTTTTATTTTGTTTAACGTCCTATTAAAATCTATGGTCATTTGAGGACGTGCCTCCATGTGTGCTGTGAAAGTGTGCAATGTGTGTATGTATGCTGATGACGGGGTATGTTGGTGTACTTGCCTCTTTGTAATAGCGCGGATCTGATGCCAATTTTATAGGGCTGTCTCACTAAAACATCATGCTGAAGGCACCCAGCACAGCATCCTGCCCGGTCACATTATACTGACAACGGGTGAACCAGTTGTTGCCATTACACTCAATGCTGAACGTTAAGCAGGGAATAACAACTACCAATTTTAAGGACTTTGGTATGTCCCGGCTAGGGGACAGAACCCATTGCCTTCCGCACCTGGACGAACGCTCAGCAAAAACATGAAAGCCAGAAATGAGGTATTGCCAAGCTAAGGGCTATGAAATAAAAGGTAGTTGGAAGTAGGAAGAAAGACAAAGATCCCAAATGTTGCTATGGGTGCAGCAGATTTATTTTGGTCGCTTTTGTGACCCAAAGTAGAGAGCGCAATAGCAAAACCCAATTCTGCAGGGGGCTCCTACATTAGTCGCCGTTTACGATACATGCAGAGGGTAACAGCAGACGTATTATTTTCGCGATCCCCGGCCTGCAGGGTTGTGACAACAGAATCTGTTCTAAACCAGGCGCTCAGCTCTAAATTTACTTATAGCATGACTTATACATGTAGGCAGAGTCAAGATTCAAGATTTTTATTACTCTCTGACATTCAAAGTATGTTACAAGATATCGTTTATGTATATTATTCATTTGGGGCGTCTCAGTACTAAGCTTTAAGAAATACATGACGATCTTGATTTTCCGATCGTAAACTTCCCTTTCTTGATAGGTACATCCCTGCTTCCACACATACGGTGGTTGCGTGTAGCAGAAGACAATTCGTTATTTAAAGGTTCACTCTGAATATAAAGATTTCAATGATAGACATCGACTGCTCACGAACAAACTTTCAAAACAGTTTCTAGAGATGCAGATTGATGAAGAAAATGAGCAAGCTTTATGGCCGCCATCGTAATCTCATTTGTAAAACACTCTAATTTTTGTCGGATATGAAGATCAATGTTGATTTTACTGTGCTTTGTGGTTTGGTTCACGATTTTTCGAATATCACTTTGTGGGCGTGATACTGCTTGAACTTGATCTAGATGTATCGTCAATATAACAGAAGACGTTATTATTTCCGGAACATCTGGTCTTATTTTCTTTGAACTTTTAAAGAGTTTATATGTAAATATTTCCTTTCTTCATATTTTGCCCTAGTTTCATCGATTTTATGTGGTAACCACGGCCATTAAAATTAAATACTATTAAACTTCAACTAAATAAAAGCAACAATATACAAAAAATATCATTTTACAATAAATAAAAAAACCTGTGAAAGAGTTTTGAACAATAATAATTAGTTGTTATATATACATTTATACTTATTATCAATAAGAAAAAACAAATCTTAGGATCCAAATTCATGTAAGTTTAGTATCGCTTTAGAAACGCTGAAAGGTACGAAATTAATGGTGGGTAACTTTAAGTGACGTCGTTCAGATGAGTAGGATGCTTTTTAGCGACAGGGTTATGAGTTACCAATACAAATTTTGGGAAACAGGTGTATTCAGATATTTTTTTTTATTTCACATCAACGGCAGGTGCAGTGATTATATCCGCCTCGAGCTTCTGGCTCATGTCGCGGTCACGTGTGTTAGCAAGAATACATCAAATGTGTCGCGTGGCGATATTCGCTCATTCTTAATGATTCGTATAAAACAGCTGGATGGGTCTAGGCTTTCTTTTCTATTATATTTACCTGGAGTATTTAGGCCTAATACACAAACATCTTTATCAGGCACTTTTATCAATGTGAAATGCGTATATTCCTACCTAGTTAAGTGATAACATCTCAATGTGCGAGTGGTGCAGTGGTAATACACTCGCCTTCACCAAGGAAGGCCGGGGTTCGATTCCCCAACGGACACGAAAATATATGGGGTCACATGCCCGAGCTCGGGGGTTTTCTCCGGGTACTCAGGTTTCTACCCACATTAAGAGCCCGCGAGCTAACACCTGTGCTAACAAGAGTTATTTGTTTAAGTTGAAATAACTTGTTGTAAAATAAAAAATATGAAAAACATAGTGATACAACTATGATTTATTTTGTTTAATTCAATGACGGCTGGTGTAAAAGTCGTTTGGATATGATTTTTGAGATATTTTATTTTGCGATCGTATACGAACACGAAAATAAATATCTGTCTCTACGAATGGAGTAGTCCAGAGAGTTAAGCTCTATTACATACAGAAGATAGCATACAACCGGATAGGAGGTCCAGATACAGGCACCTGAAATGTTGAGAGGGCTACATTTCATGAATACCATCTACATCGGAGTTGATATGGCGTTATTATAAATCACGAGTGTACACGGTGTTAATGTGGGAGTAATTTAAACTATTATTAAAGTGTACAGTTGTTAACGTTAGGATAGCACTTCTCTCTGCTTATAAGCGTTAACAATGTTTAGACTTTTTAAAACATGTAAAAGACATTTTAAATTATTATGATTAAACCCATCATTTCCTTTCCGTATATAGGCTTTGAAAAGTTAAGATGCTCCCTTTACATTTGAAGATAGTAATAGATTGATCGCCTCTTAAGACAGAACATATTGTAGTAAGTATTCCCCTTAGTGTTGCAGTATCAATATATCAAATAGCATGACTGGTAGCGCATTGGACAAGCTTCCAGCTTAATATTCAAGATGTCTGGAGATCGTACCGAAGATATTTAGTAAATAGGATTAGAGCTTTTCCTTTTGCATCCAAAACACAAAACTCATTAATTGTCTGCAAACTCTCATTATTTGTTTTCATCCTCCCGGTATTTATTATTCAATTCCAACATTGTGACGAAGAAGATGGTTATTTGGGGATACCATTGAAGATTTACCGACGGTATTTCAGTTATTGTTATTATTATCTTATCGCTATTTTTTTTAATTTTTTTTTTGCGAAATGTATATTCTGTGTTGATTGGGGAGGAAAGTCGATTTAAACATAGGTAACTGATACAGTATGCAACAATGAATTACACTGCACCATACAGCTGTTTCGTCCATCTAGTACTCANTTAACGGACGACGGACGACGGACGACGGACGACGGACGACGGACGACGACGGACGAAAACGGATAGCAATAGGTCACTTGAGCTAAAGCTCAGGTGACCTAAAAATGTGAATATTCAAATTGGTCTTACCTCAGTACTGTCATTCCCTCAGTATTAACATATAACTAATGGCGTTAATATGTCACAGTTAACTAGCTGCTCCAGGTCTTCCTCATCATGATATTCTAGGTAGATACGCCTTTTTTTACGTATAAATAACCTTAAGCAATCTGGTTTTTTTCACCAGAGAAGTTTCGATATACAAAAAAAGACATTTTTCGTTACCAATTTCAACAAGGGGATGTCCGCATGTCATATGTTACAGACTTGTTTTCACGTATTGCAGGTGACCTAGGTTCCTGTGCTTGACCGGAGATAGGAAGACCAGAGCTAAGTTTGGTCAGGAAATGCTTATCCATTTAGAGTTCCATCTTGTTTTGCCACCAATATTTGTGTAAATGACTATGATGGAGCTTTATCTTTTAAGGTTTGAAAGAAGAAATTCAAAGATGATTGATTGTATATCATGGAGAGAGAATATTACATGAGCTAAGATTTCTTTTTTCTGTATATGTTTCATACTCTCCGATTTCAAATGGTGTTATTGCCAATTTTATGTTGGGGAAATATCGCAGCGTTGAATTTGCAGTTTCAAAAGTTGTTATATGGTAATTGCAGGGCCCCAAATATTCGTAGTTGTGTGAAATTTGTGGGATTATCTTACCGCGAAAATTACACTACCGCAATAATAAACTTCTTACAGTTTTCGCTTTTAAATGAGTGAACGATGAGGTTAATATTTATTTTTATAAACGTAGTCGTCATCTATTTCCAACTAACCTCTTTCATATCAAGTTTTATCGGCTTAATGACATTAAATGTTTTTTTTAACTTTAGTTTTTTCCTCGACAATATCTGTTCACATGTCATTTCCGTGCTATTTTTCCTATGGTACATTGTATTCGTTTTCAATCTCATAACATGCTCTTCTAGTAATACATTTTAATGATTCCAGTGGGTATTAAGCCGTAAGAAGCTTGTTCCTAGGTACAATGATACGCCTGCATAACACTATCAATTTTTTATATGGCACTAGAGCAAGTTACGTTAGTCTGTATCATCGTGCATGTCTAGTAAGAAGAAAATGTTTTTTTGCGGGGAAAGGAATCATTTGATTTATCACCATTATCATAGTATGGATCGTGTGTTATTGTGCAAGCAGCAAACGTCCCGTTCAATGTTATCATTAACTTTTATCTCAACCATCGCGTTTCTGAATGCATATTATATTGCTGGACTTCAATTTCTTAAACCGATATCAATGAACTAAACCGAAGTCGCGAGTGTGCCGCACCTCAATGTTTTAGACGCGCGTCCTCTTTCAGAATTATCTCACAGTGACTGTGGCTCAATATTTTAAACGCGTGTACTCTTTCAAAATCAACTCACAATGGTTTCATTGTATCACGACTTAAAGTTTACTCCAGTTTCCTGTGGTTTCAAGGACAAGCGTTACATAACCACGCAAGTTATCTTTCGGGTGTAGAGATGACATCATCTTTAAAAGATATACTACTTATATTGCATTGATGCTGTTGATTTATAACTGTGCTTAGTCATCTGGTACAAAAACTTTCAACAACTTGGGTAGGGTTACTAGAACATTTCGGTCTCTAAAAACAGTCATTTAACATCAAACATTTATTTTGAATACGATGATTTTTCTTATTGTACATTTTGGCC